CCGAAAACACCTTTGTGGCTCTCAGCACAAGAAGCATTTTATAGAAGAGAAACGACAGGCAAACACAAATGGATAACTTATCATGAGATACTAGAATTTTGTCAAGGGGAATGTAAAATAAAATCAAGAGAACTGGGCGCAGAGTGGTATAGTTGTCCATGGTTCTCTTATTTACAATTATTAGAAAGACTTAAAGTAGACAAAAGAATGTAAGATTTTGAACACTGTAAGACTGAATTTGAAACAGAACCGTGTACCAATGATGAATATGTAATTGCTAAAATGGATAAACTCGTATTGAAATATGAAACAGAAGAAGTGAAAGAATGTATGATAAAATGGGCTAAAAAGTTTGGTTATAATATACAAATGAAACAATGGGAAAACATGTGATCGAAAGGACTGAAACTTACATTATGTTATAACCTTAAAGAGAATTTCTATAAAAGGATGTATCGTTGGTATATGTCACCAGAGAAACTGTCTAGAACGTACAAAGGTACTTCAAATTTATGTTGGTAATGTTAACGTGAAGGGACATTTTATCATCTCTGGCGGATGTGTAAAATAGCCAGGAAATTATGGATATAAATGCATACACTAATGCAGAAGATTTGAAAGTAAAATTGAAACCAGAGACTTTTCTTTTGGGATTGATGGACAAACGGGTGGAAAAAGGTCATGGAACTTTGTTTTTATATACAGCAACTGCAGCAAGATTGTTATATGCATAAAATGGAAAGATTCAACATTGCTCACAATGGAAGAATGGTTGGGAGGAGGATGCAGAGATGGCTAAATTGACTTCCTTAATTAGAGAAAAGACATTATCTACGTTCATTGCTGACTAGAAGCCCCTTATGGACTTTTTGCATGAAACAGAAAAAAATGACCTTGTGACTTGCGGTGTTGATGATGAGAAAAAAAGAGAGTTTGTCTTTGTAACCATAGAGTAAGAGGCAATTTTGTATTTGTAATTATTCTTGCTGTAAAGGAAGCCAGAAGCAACTTCTATTTCTTTCTATTTTTTCTTTTTGCACTTTTGATTGCTTCTTTGTTCTTCTCCTTCTTTCTCTTTTCCTTTGTATTCGTTCTTGTTAGTTTTTATCTTCTGTTTAAAACCCTTGATAAAAATTATATACAATATATAAAAAAAAGATGTAGTGTCCCAGATCAGTGTTTTTCAACCTAGGCAACTTTAAGATGGGTGGACTTCAACTCCTTGCTGGCTGGGGAATTCTGGGAGTCAAAGTCCACCCATCTTAAAGTTGCCTAGGTTGAAAAACATTGGTCCAGACAGTGTGTGTGTGTGTGTGTGAGAACAAAGCAGCCTTTTCAGGCTGCTGAGGAACTCACACTCCATCTATATAACTAGCATTAATGGCTTATTTCGATAAAACGTCATTTATGTACCGACAGCCTTGAAACCCAGCAAAGAGCCTGAACTCTTCCACTTTCTCTTTCCTGGAGGCAGAGAGGAAAAGTTTCCAGGCCCCTTGCCTGAAATTATAGCAAGTCAAAGGCAGATATAAATATATTACAGAAAGTGGCTATTATTTAAAATAGCTTTGTTCCGCTGGGTGTCTCGCCGGCAAGGGGGCTCTGCCTCCCTCCCATCGCAGCCGCTTCATGCTTGAGCTGCAGATCTAAATATTATGACAATGCCCAGGCGCACGCAATGTTTTGAGCGTCCTTAACCAAGACATTATTTTCTCACGACTTAATGGGGGCAAGGAAATTATTTCTTGGCAACGTTCGCGCTGCCTGGAATCAAAACCCACGGAGTCACTCTGCCACGGTTATCAATGAGCGCCATTGATGCACGGGGATGGATTTGAAAGAGTAAAGCGGTCCATTCCTCCAGAAAGAAATTTGTCTCGGGCGCCGCATGTCCTGACGGATCTCCTGGCTCTGCTTTGGTTAGCCAGCATGAAAAGTCAGCAGAAATAGCCCTTCCTGCCCCAAAGCTTCCTCTGCCCTCTGTAAGCCTTTTCCAACCTTTTTTTTCCCCAATCCAATGCTAATTTTACATAATAGTTTACTAGTTTTTGGAAGCGAGCACGCTATTTTGCAGAAGCGCCGTTAGCTTCATAAAGTTATTATCTTCCCAGGAATTGGGGATTCCCCCGTACACTTCTTTTCATAATATTTATTATAGGCATTTTTTGAATCCTTGTCCCACAATATTCCTATTTATTCTCATGCTCCGCCACAACTGTTTCTCAAAAATAAATGTGCCACAGCAGTGATTAAAATGTTGGTTTAAGCCAGAGTGGCCCATGTTCGAATCCCCATTCAATCATTAATTGTTCAAGGGGTGCATTCACATAAGATGGTGAATGTGGTTACAGGATTAACCCATACGCGATGCACCAGCCACTGAACCACCAAAGCAAAGCACCTACACGGTAAGGCCCAAACACATTCTGACATACAGAGAAAAGAAAACATGAATCAGCCTTAGCTAGTTATATACAGCAAAAGCCTACAGCACCCGGTATTCCCAGGCGGTCTCCCATCCAAGTACTAACCAGGCCTGACGCTGCTTAGCTTCCGAGATCAGACGGAATCGGGCGCTTTCAGGGTAGTATGGCAGTAGACAATACGCAGGTTCTTTGCCGCTGCTTTTAAGATGGCTGTCGGCGCCCGCCCGCTCAGCCTACACCTCATCTACAAGCAGGACTACAACCCAAACCATCATCCCCAGCCACTAGGTCTAACATGCCTTCTCTTGCTGCTGCTCCTGCTGCCATTTCCTTTGCCTCTCTGAACGGCTCTCACACTCAGCCC